TTTTTTTTTTTTTTTTTTTTCAGTGCTGGGGATCAAACTTAGGATCTCGTGCTTGCAAGGCAGGCACGGTGCCACTGAGCTAAATCCCCAACCCTTGTGTTTTCTGAATTTGAGGGCAGTGATGTCTTTCTTTCTGTGAAAAATTTAATGGGAAACAAAGAAGAATAAAAACTCCCGAGAGAAGGGAGAAGAAGGATACAATAAGGAAGTTAAGACCTCCTGGTTACTACATGCTTTTCTTTTCTTTTTTTTAAGAGACAGATGGAGTCCCACTATGTTGCCCAAGCTGCTTCAGAACTCCTGGGCTAAAAAATAACTTCCTCATGCACAAAAAAACAAAAACAAAAACAAACAAAACCCTCCTGGGTTCAAGAGTTCCTCCTGCCTCAACCTTTTAAGTAGCTGAGAGTATAAGCACATGCCACCATGCCTGGAACCTTGTCAATGGTGAGCCAGCTCTACAAAGTCCAAACACCTTTCTAGTATTCAAAATCCAAGACATTTTGAACTAAATTATTTTGTATGCATATTTCTCTTTACTAGCATCAAATACCAACTCTAAATGACACTACCTGCTACTCACTGAAACTGTCTATAACATTTCCATCTCCACTTTTTTTCTTAACTAGCGCTGGGATTTGAACCCCAGACCTTCTGTGTGCCAGGCAAGTACTCTACCACTGAGCTACTTCCACAAATTCATCTCTATATCTTTATCAAAATGTTTTCATGCCTAGAAATGTACACTCATTGATGGCCAGCTCAAGTGACCATAACAGTTCAGTAAAAGATTCCTGGCTACCCAGCTACTGGCAAATACCCTGTGCTCTTAACTTTTTTCCCCTCAGTACTGGGGATCAAACTCAGGACCTTGCGCTTGCCTTGCAAGGCAGGCACAGTGCCTCTGAGCTACACCCCAGGCTCCTCTGCTCTTGTAAGACTCATCTGGCACCTGGCCTTCAGAGTTCTCTCATCAGTTCTACCTTCATATATATGGACCATAATTTGAAGAATGGCTCTTCAAGGCCAGACATCAGGTCTCACGTAAGTTTCTTCCTCACACAGTGCCCAGCTTACAGTAGACCAGCACTTCTCAAAGTGTGAGCAATCCGAGGAACCTGTCAGACATGCAAGTTACCAGCCCCACCTCAAATAGAGTGCACCAGAAACACTGAGAGTATGTGTTTTAACAAGTCCTGCAGGTAATTATATGAACAGGCATGCCAAAATCTAAGAACCACAGCCATCAACAATTAGTAATTACCTACTGACCTTTACTCCTGGGTATTAAAAACTAAGGATGCTTATTTATCACAGATGTTACCAATACAGAAAGAAACTGGCTGACAAGTAAAGTATCAGGATACATACTTAGGCTTGGTGGAGTAAAACACCAGAAATGAAATGGCAGACTATGATAAAGGAGGCCTAAAGATGAAGACATAAGCCATTCTCCATTTAAAGTAGTTCCGCAACGATTATGAGTCTTTATAGCAAAGATCTTGGTTCCTGGTTGTATTGTAAGGGTGCTGGCAAGCAAAAGAGTAAAGAATAAAGAGAGCAAGCTACATCTAAATAGATGTTTCTCACACAAAAACTGTCATTTGTACATAATTTCTAACAATCAAAAGGACAATATTTAGTACCACCCGAGTCCAAAATTTTCAGCTATTTGGAGTTAAATTTTGAGGCTTACTCCTTTTGATGAGAAGGCCCCAAGTTCCACAGCAAGTCTAAGATAGAGCTAGGATTTCAATCCAAGCTTTCCTACTGATCCTGACAGTTCACTTCAGGTTCATACTGCCTTTTGTCCAAGCCACTCATCTGAAGTCAAAGCCACAGTACCAACTGCTCCTCCCACTGACCCAAACTATTGCCAGAGGTGCCACTTTCCTTAGTATCTTGGTCCTCACCCTTTTTACTTCCCAAGGACTGTAAGGGATCATCTTGAACTTCCTCACTTGATCATGTGAAATACAACCTAACTTGGCTTGAATACATCAGAAGAAGCAAAGGTAACAACAGCCTAGGTCTACTTCTGGAGAAAAAAATTTTAAAATCTCACTTTGATGGTTTCATGTATCACTAAAAGAATGTCTTCCTGTAGGATTCTTCTATGAGTGGCTGATAATAGCTCTCCTGTGGCTATAACATCACACATGTAAACATCATAAGTCAAAGTAAGTCCATCCTTGTCTGGGGGTGTAGCTCAGTGGTAGGTGCAAGGACATGGGTATCATCCTCATCACCAAAGAAAACAACACATCCTGTTTTATCTCCTCTAATCTGCCTCCTTCAGGAAGCCTCTGTCCTTATTCATACCAGGTGAAACAAAGCTTCCAGACCTTGCCCCTCACCAAGGATTAAACTTGCCATATCAAACAATCTTAGAGCAGCAGGAATAGCCACAGGGGTGTGAGAACAAAACTACAGATATGTGACAAGCTTAACTCCTCAAGGAAACAGGAATACATAGGTGACTGAACTGGACAGGTTTCTGTTGATTTTGAATCTGCCACAGCTGAGACTCTAAGAAACCTCCATCTTACTCATTCACCAAGAGTCGGAGAATTCCAAAAGCCACACAGGAGAGATTCACACTCTTCAGACATGGGCTCCCTAAGTTCTGGGCTTCCCAAAGATGTACCTCATGAGGTGATCAGAGGGATATGCACATGAGTGCAACCCACCTTCTTCCCTAAGTCTTTTCTTCTGAGCAATTTCATATATTGGGCTTATTAGTTTCTGTGGCCAACAATTTCCAAAACCCCTTACCTATTCCAATTCTCTCTGTTTTGTAACTTCTCAAATCCCAAGCTCAAGGCATAGTGGTACATACCTATAATTCAAGCACTAGGGAAGCTGAGACAGAAAGATCACAAATTTGAGTCCAAGATGGGCTACATAGCAAAACCTGACCCCAACAAAAAAGTCCCCGGCAAGAGCAGTGAACTAACTAGCCATAATCACAGACCAGAAGTAAGACCAAGGCCTATCTCCCAGTCAGGGTTCTCAAGATGCTATCAGGGTTCAGAAAGTACACCCCACCTATACTAACCCTCAAATCCTATCAGCGAACACCTGGTGCCTAAGTAACAACTCCTACCCTTTTAGGAAAACCCTGCTCCAGTGTTCTTAGAGGCAGCCTGATGCTGCAGAGAAAGCAACTTAAGATCCCCCACAGACCTTCAGTGAGCTCTACCCATTTATGTGATTTGAAGCAGTTTCTCCTCAAGCTTAGTTTTTCATCTATACAATAACCTTTCCCCATTTCTATGGGGAAGACTAAGTAAAATAAGACATGAAAAAGGGGCTGGAGATTTAGCTCAGTAGTTCCGCCACCTTCCTCACAAGTGCAAGGTCCAGAGTTCGATCCCTGGTACCCCCCCCAAAAAAGAAGATAATGAAAATACTTAGCAAAGGCTCTGTCACAAAGCAAAGGGGCCAAAAGTGATTTGGATCATCACCATCCACAAACTGTCTTTGTTTTTTTTGTCTGTCTTGATTTTGGGTTTTTGAGACAAAGTCTCAGTATGTCAGTATGTAGTTCAGGATGGTCTTGAACTCACTATGCAGCCCAGGCTGGCCTCAAACTCCCAGGTGACCCTCTAGCATCACCATGCCCAGCCACAAACTCACTTTGTTGTTTTTGTTTTTTTGTTTTTTTGTTTTTTTTGTTTTCCACAAACTCACTTTGAAAGGCAAGTACTAATCCCTCCCCCAAGTATATGATTTTTTAAAAATCTGAGTTTTAAGGCCCATACCTGTAATCACAATACCGTGGAAAGCTGAAGCAGGAGGATTACAAATTCAAAGCCATTATGGGTAACCTGGAGTCTCAGCAAGACCCATCTCAAAAATGTAAAAAAAAAAAAATTAAATAAAGGAAGGATGGAGTTGGGGGCTGGGGATGTAGTTCATTGCTAAGGCCCTGAATTAAATCCTCAGTACCACAGAAAGGCATGGGGGGAGGTGTGTGTGACAATGTAGCACCTGCATGTGTGATCGTCCTTTCATCTCTGTGCACAGCTGTTCACAAGACATCAAGC